ATAGATAGATATATATATATATATTTTTTTTTTTTTTGCTGTCGAGTCAAGTAATGTACTTTAAAACTTTAAAACAAACGTAAGCTAAAAATAAGTATGTACAGTATTTATTTAAATAATTTGTTGTGAGTCAAAACAAAACAATATCATTTCAATCAATATATCGTCGAGCCACAAATAAATTGACAAGAAAACAAAATGGCATTTATTTGGCAGCAATCCTTTTCATTCAAGGACAGTCGTGTGAAAAGCGAGCCAATGGCGGCAGTCCAATCAGGCCAAGCGGTCTTCATGAGAAACCAGACTCACAGGTGATCTTGGAGTTTCGTACGTTGCAAAATGTGGGGCATTTCGACTAAAAAGTCTGAAATATTGTCTCTTTCAAGTGTGGGTCGCACACGTATCAAGAGAAGACTTCGATAGTATTTCCGCTCGATTGATCTGATGTGACTGTGGCCTCACATGCATGAGTAAGACTGTACAGTGTTTGACTTCAATACCCTCAAGGCTTTACGGTGCGTAGTAATACACTGACACAGTTATCAGAGCAAACTAATTGGGACTGGGCCCCATATCTGCGAGTATGTGTGTGTGTGTTTGTATTATGTCTATGACCTCTTTCATGCACTGCTTACCCCGCCTCACCTAGTCATGTTACAGTGGATGGAAAATAGCAAAGACTGCCTTCGAGCCCCATCGGGAATTTGGGGGAAAACTCAGCCCCCTTAGCCTATTTCGCATAGCGACATGAAATTTGGCAGGCCCATATATCATGACTCACAAAAAAAAAAAAAAGTCTCAAGAACTCATGCCTGGAATTTTTGGTTTGAACTATTCCAGTCATTTTTGACCATTTCGCCCGAGAAGTTTCATGTGGCGACATGAAATTTGGTAGGCAATTCTATCATGAGTGGACCCACAAAAAAAGTCTCAAGAATCCATGCCTGGAAAGACACAGGGAGTCTGCCGTTTTGGTTTCAAGCAGCTATTCTGCATGTCATTTTTGACCGTTTGAGCCCTCAAAGTCTGTTTAACGTGGCAACGTGAAATTTGGTAGGCAAATCTATCATGAGCAGACCCACCAAAAAGTCTCAGAACTCATGCCTGGAATTTTGTTTTGAACTATTCCAGAGTCATTTTTGGCCATTTCGCCCTAGAAGTCTGTTTCACGTGGCAACGTGAAATTTGGTAGGCAATTCTATCATGAAAAGTCTCAAGAATCCATGCCTGGAAAGACGCAGGGAGTTTTGGTCATGGCGGCCAAATTTGGCGACGCTCCATTCAACACTAAATTCCACAAGGTCACTGTGTTCAAATGCGTTTTATTTGTATTTCCTTTTTTTTTAATCCAGTTTAGTACATTTGAACTGGAAGAAATATTGACGGAGATTGTTTACGTCCCGTCATGCTGTCTCCTGGACTCACTCGCCTGGCTCCTGTCTAGGAAGCGTGTCAGATAGACCAGACGTCTCCACGGAAGCTCTTGGCAGAGGTTTGCGCTCTCGCTTAAAAAAAAAAAACAACAAAAAAACATCTGACCCACTTTCACTCCTCTCTGTGAAGACATTGGGGGGGAACTCGCATCTGCTTGGAGACGTCGTCACGTCGCGTTCCAAAAAGGAAAAAAAAAAAAAAAAGCCATCACAGAAAGAGTCGTCACAGAAATGCAAACGACGCGCTAGACTTTTCTATTCATGGTTGGCAAGGGGGCATCGTTTAAAGAAGCAAATCGGAGCCTGTGATCCATCTCATATGTGTGCAAAATGGAACACTGCAGACATCTGACTCTTGTAGCATTTCCCGCAAAAAAAAAAAAAAAAAAGACAATTGGAGCAGGCACTTGTACTGACTCATTGAGGCTGATGCGCAGCGAGGCGCTTAAGCAAGGACAAAATGCAAACACCGGACGGGACTAAACAGAAGCTGGCTGCTCAATGAAAATCCGTAGACGGAAGGGAAGACGGCGATGAGTCAGAATCAAAAGAGCGTGCAAGCGGAGATGGAAAAAAGCAAATGAAGGCTAGATTCACAAATGCGGCAGTAAATCATGTTTTCATTGAACTGATTCCAGTGAACTAAAAGTTTTGAGCAGACCTCTGGCATTTGGCTATTTGATTCTTAGACCATAAGTGTAATCGAGCCTACTGAAAATAAAAGGCAGAACAATTTTTTCTGCGTCTTGTTGAGACAGAAAACCCGTCATTTGAGTTAAGGTTTTTTTTGGCGGGTGGTTAAAAGCAGATTTAAAATCCAGACTTGAGTCAATAAGTACTCAATGGCAACCAGAGACTTGAAGTGGACATTTTCGCAGCGCAGTCATGCCAGATGTGGTTGCATCCGTTTAGTTGAGCAGGCATTGGTTTTGCGCATTCAGCGGACACACCCCACAGAGTTTGAGAGCAGAGACAACGGCATGATTTTCATGCTTTTGAAGGCTCATTTGATTTACTTGGTCGTTCACATTTTTTTTTTTCAAATTTACATGATATTTATTTTCACTGCAGGATCTTTAAACACCGAAAGCAGTCGAGAAAAATAGGAGGAGATGGCTGTGAAGCAACAATTCCAAAATGTCTCCATGTTTACTGTCGACCTGCTCGGTGTAAAATGTCAGCTGCGCGTGAATTGTTATCACGATTCCAACCTCTTGTGTGGGTGTGTTTTTGTGTGCCTCCCGGGGCATTGTGCACTTTTCATAACGAGCTGCTTCAAGTGCGCACGGCAGGATAAAGCCTGTCTATTGTTCATCTTCTTTTCCTTCTTTGTACTTTTCGGCATTTGCATGAAGCGGCAGGAAAGCGGCACTCAGCCGTCGTTCAGCAGTTATCTTGAAAAATGTCTTGAGAAATAAATCTTGGAGCAAGTCGTGTTTTATTTGAATTCTATTTCGTTATGTTCTTTGTGTATGTTCAGTGCTATTTTCTCTTTCTTTTTGGAGAAGAAAAAAATAAAATAAGAAGATAGGGGGGCTGGATTCATTCCAATTGGGAAAAGTGATGAGCAAGGTCACCAAACAAATTCAACACGGCAGTTAAAGTACCACCACGTGTTGTCGACAGTAAACCGGGAGACATTTTGTCATTTTTCCAGGTCTTATCTCAACCCGGCACCAACGCTTTTTATTTTGGGAGGGTGAATTTTTGTCTTTTTTTTTTTTCCTCTTCAATGTTTATTCATATTCACGGAGGCTTCTGAGAGAGAGATAAGACGTCAAGTGCTGAGCTGGGCCTGAGGGCTGCCGGTCGGGGGCCGGATATAATCGAGACATAAACACATTTGAGAAAGCAGCGAATACCGCTTTCTCGTCACGTATGACCTCCCTGTGCTGTTTGTCAAAAAAAAAAAAAAACATGTCTGCCGCTCATGTGTCAACAGCGTTCAGTGTGATTGTGAATAAGTCTCGTGTGTGCAGTCAAAAAAAAAACAACAAAAAAACATGTCTGCCGCTCATCTGTCAACAGCGTTCAATGTGATTGTGAATAAGTCTCGTGTGTGCAGTCAAAATGGCTGAAGGGCGGATGATGATGTGCGCACTGTTTCCCAAATCAGGTTCCCAACTGGAAACCTCCCTAAATCTCCCGCACAAAGCACACCAGCCTCGCTCCCGCCAACCCCAAAGAATCCCTTTGTTGGAGCCAAATATTCCCACGTCAAGAGACCGCGATATTATACGTGCCGTGATTGAAACAATATTTTTTGTAGCTCAATACTACCTCGTCTAGATTTCCAAAAACATAGAGTGCGCTTGATATTGTCGAAACTGTCTATGACATCAATAAAAACATCCAAATGGAGTTCAGGCAGCACACTAAATTGTCTTTTGATGTTGACAAAATTGTGACAATGTTTCCCAAAAGAATGTTTGGATCGCCTAAGACTACGTTGTTTTTTTTATCTTTAAAAACATGTATGTAAGATCCATTGGATATTCTGTATGTCTTCATCGTCTTCATTTTTGTGCCAGGGCAAGCCTACTACAGCTTGTGCTTGAAAAATTGCTTTGCGGCTCGCTAGGTGTTCCAGCAGACCGGGTGTTTTTGATTACGCCTGATGGCTTGGTGACGAGAGTGTAGACTAAACTCTAGACTGGGTGAAAACCGGTCTAAGTTGTGGTGCAGGTGGTGTAACGCAATTTTGGTGGAGTTAATTGAGCCGTAGGAAGATTGTACCAGGAATCAAGTTGGCTGTGTTCATTCCCACTACGGCGCAAATGCCCATTTCAAAGCCTACAAACAGTGCAAATGACACCCCCTTAGTGGCTGCGGTTTCGAAAAGCATGAGTGCAACGTGATTGGACGGCGAAGTGCTTTGCTATGATGTCATGACATAACATCACAGCGACATCATGGCTTTAATGTAAACTAACTCGTCATTAATAGTCAGTGTGGGAAAAATGTCCAGATTTTGCAGCTTTTACACTAAAGCTCAAAAAAGGCTTCCCTGTCGGATGTCGGTCATGCAATTTTGCTCCCTTGAGGTATGTCCAACAAAAACATACACATAAATGATAAGAATTAAATCAGCGACGAATAAGGTCTCTCACCTCCTTTTTTAATGGCCTCAGTCCTCAAGTGATTGTTCAAATTTCACACCATGCTTTGCCCAAAATAGATCGTGTGGACAAAAAAGAAAATAAGCAATTTCCTGGGTGATTTTTTTTTAGCTATGCTAAATAATTTCAAAAAATTCCCATCATTATCAATGTGCCTGACTATATGAGGTGAAAAACTCAGTTGATTTGTTTTTATACTTCTGAATGCAAAAAGTAAAAATTTTAAAAAAAAGCATTCTTTTAACTGTGATGTGACTGTGTTCAGAATCAACCAATCACATTCAAACTCACGTTGAATAGGAGTCAGCATAAACCTGCCATCACTGAAAGTACCACTGGTTCACCCCAAATAAAGTTCAGCTGTTCTAAGCAAGCTTTTCCTGAGTTTATTTTTTCTGCTTCTTAATGTAAGACAGTGTGCTAATACTGATCTAGTTTGAGGGGAAAAAAATTCCCGAAAGTATGATGCTGCCACCACCATTCTTCACTGGGTGTTTTATTTGTGCCAGACATGATGCCAAAAGTTCAACTTTGGTTTCATCGGACTGGATCAAACTCCCAAAAATATGTAGGAAAATATATAAATTATGACAAGCTGGGAATAACAGTCAGTGTTGGTAAAAAAAAAAAAAAAAAAAACGTCAAGCATCTTTCAAAAAGTAAAAAAAATGTCAGAAAAGCCTACTAGAGCATCTGAACTTTATCTGGGGTGAATTAAGGGCAGTTTGAATGCTGGCTCAGCGCAGGTTTGGGGTGTGCACACTTGTGCAATTGTACAGTATACTAGTCAGGTTTAGTTGTGTTTAGTAGGCTAGAAGTGGCAGTCGTGTTGGAAGAAAAACAAAAACATAACTAATAAAATCCAGTCGTCGTGTGTCAAGTCCTTTTTACTAGTGCACTGAATTGTCTTACAAAAGCATACTAGTACAAAGGGCCCTTGATATTGACTAAATACTCAAACGGCTTTATGCAAAACCAAAAATTGGTCCCCACCCCCAAAAGGCACTTTCATCAAAAATATATTTGCAACCCAAAATAGCAGCGGCGCCTCTTGCACGTTCATTCTGAAACTCGAGCTCACTCTGCTGGATTTTCAACGCAGGTGCAATTCTGCTCGTTTGAGCTCGCGTCAAACGGAGAAAAGAACCCATCTAAAAACTCATTTCGTGTGGAAGTTTAATCAACCCCAAAATAGCACGATGGACGTTTTATGTCACACTGACAGACGTGTTTGACATTTCTATCCACTAGAGGGCGACAAATCCCCAAATAAACGCGACTGAAACCCCGCTTCTCGTTTTCAAAACAGAGCTGCAGTTGATCGAACGAGAATCTTCTCTTGGATGAACACAAGAGGAGCAGCGGCATAATAAGAAACGCCTTTTTATTCCGAGGGCCCTCCCCAGCCCTCCGTCCCTCCCCCCTCCCTGTTTTATCTCCCCCCCCCCCCCCCCCCCCTTCTTCCATCTCCAAATTCACCTCCCCTCCCTCTATACGTGCTTCCTCCCTCCCTCCGCATCAACGACATTACAACCTGCTTTCAAACCGCCGCCCATGCTCGGAGCTCCGCCGTGTGCGTCGAGGCGCAGAGCCGCGGGGGTGTCGCCACCACAGTCGGCCTGAGAAGCGCGCGGGCACCCGGACGACCGGCATCACCTCCAGGACGAGGACGAAGAGGAGGGAGGGCGAGGAGGAGGAGAAGGAGGAGGGGGAAGAGGGGGGCTTGTAAGGAGTGGAAGGAGGAGAGGGAGAAATCAACACCACGCGTGTTTTCTCCCTTTTTTTATTTTTATTTTTGAAGGGGGTGGGGTTTGGGGGGGGGGCGTGTGTGGAAAGAAGAAGGAGACTGGATCAACTACCGGAGCCGAGTAAGTCGTGATTTTGCCTATTTTTGCTTCGTGGCGGGCAGCATACTTCAGTCATAGAGAGGAAAAAAATGATTCAAATGTGAGAAAAATCAAGCATGCGTACTGTTAGATTTCTTCTTTTTGGCGTCCCACCCGTTAGCCCAATTTGTGCATCCGACAGGTGTAACCGAACATGTTTATGCCAAAGCTACATCGATCTGTTGTGATGCTGACAGAAGATGAGTGTGTGCATGGGGGGGGGGCGGTCTCAGCATCAGCACCAACATCGTCATCCCTCTTATTTTTATTTGGATTTAAATCCGGTGATGATGCTGACTGGCTTCTTCCACCAGTGCGTGTGTGTTGTGATGTGAGCAGTCTGCTGCTCCAATATGGCGCACGGTGTTGGCCATGACATAGCCCTGTCTGGAATCCGTGTGTGTGTGTGTGTGTGTGTGTGTGTGTGTGTGTGTGTGTGTGTGTGTGTGTGTGCGTTCATGCGTATGTGACTGTGTGCATCCAATCCAAGCTGCTGTGCCCAGGTCGGTACAGTGCAGTACACTAGTATGTGTAGGGTATACCGAGTACGCTTGGGGGGGGAGGGGGGGGGTGTTTGTTGTTGTTTTTTTTTTTATCTGAATCTTACAAATACTCCATATACTTTTAAAAAAATACTAAAACTATAAACCTAAAAAAAGTAAAACTGACTATTTTTGAAAAAATACAACCTATCCAACCTGCTCTAAATACAAATTAAAACTATCTGAATTCAAAAATCAAAAGTCAAAACTAAATAGCGACTAATGCTCATGAAAAACCTGAAAAAGCAATGCGGTTGTCCACAAAGTCAACTGAATCCATCAGAATGAACACACATCAATGCATGCTCTGGATCATATTAAGAAATCTCCTGTATAGTCTCCTAAATCCTTCAAAAATGTAAATCAATGCATCTGAATCCATCAGAGATCAAAATTAACATGGATAAATTCAGTCGCTGGATAAAGCGGTGCTCCATTGTCAAAAACCTAAGCCCAGACAAAATGCATGTTCTGCATGAACCTTCGCGCCGTGTACCGTCTGCAAAGCCATTTTAATCGGTCCAAATTCGAAATGAACACAGATTGCATTGGAGCTAAATTCATCAATCATTCCACAATTCAATTAACCTGCTCGTCAGCGATGTTTACATTTTAAATGCAACCTTAGCTGCGTTGTTCGTCAACATGTGGTCATCCGTCCACCAGGGGGCGAAAGCAGTGCTTTGCTAAACCGACTACAGAACAAGCCAGCGCACTGCACAGTCATGGCGGGAGTCGAAAGCACAGCAACAAATTGTGATGAGGAGCATCATGGTGCGGAGCGAGTGCCTCCAAAGGGATAAGTCACTTGTTTTTGAATTCTGGGAAAATGACATTAATCAAGATTCAGTTAGCCCTTGGAAAACTTTTCATTGTTGGGTATCTGCTTTTTTTTTTTAATGATTATTATTGTAAAGCGATAATCAGACCATTCCTGTTAAAGATTCACATTTGCACTGAAAGTTGTTTACATGTCGCTTGTTAAAGTAGTCCAGTAAAAAAAAAATACACATTTCCCGAATATAATCGTAATGATCATTTTGGCCATAATGCTGCAGCACTACTCAAGACTCAGCGTCTTAACAACTAAATGTTAGCTCGTTAGCCAATATGCTACAAGATGAGGCTGTTTTTTTTTTGTTTTTTTTTTAAGATAACCAAGCTAATTTTGCCTCTGACTGATTGTCGGAGTCAAACAGTTTGTGTTAGCAGACTTGTGATTGCTTTGTTAGCGCACAGCAGGTGTAGTAGACAACACAAAAGCGCTTGTTTTTGTTTTAGTCTCTCTCTTCCAGTCATTGTCTCTGCACAAGTCTTTTGTTGAGCAGCAATGAAATGCGAGAGAGCGAACGCAAACACGGCAATTGCATCCGACGACGGCGAGAGCTGTTTCGAATGATTTCGAAACGGGCTCATGTCGTTGGGACGTTTGCAAAGCTTTCGACAGTTCCCGATGCTCGGTGTATTTGAACAAAACCCACATCACACACAATAAACGTGCTCCGAATTGTTTTTAATTGTGAACGAAACGTAAATTGGACCTCGAGGGAGAGAATTGGATTCGATAACAGCTTCAGTCAGTGTGCTGTCAAGTGCAAAACTCCACTTCAGGTCCTTGTGACCAAGTGAGCTATTTTTAGCCCGGCCAGTTGGCCATTATTAAAGGACATTGGGTGTCAACTTGCCACGCGCTGTGATGTATATCCATATTAAAAATGACACACATTGTCACGAAAACTCATTCAGTGCCAAGGACATTTTTTCATGTTGAATCCGGGGATTCAATCCCATGTACGGCTTTATGTATTTTTTTTTCCCACCCGGTAGAGTAAAGATGGGTCTGAAAATGGCTAGCCCTGAATGAGTTACAAAACCATCAATGCAACTGTTAGCTGTGAGATCAGTAATGAAGAATGAAGCGAAAGCCTGTTGGCCTGCCAGTAAACTCGAGCCGATTCACAACCGTGAATTTTTCTGGGAATATAATTAAAACTATGAACTGAAAAAATGCCGAGCCACCTATTTTTGCGTTCGTTTTGTAAACATCCGAAGATGTCGACGAAAAGCCCTGCTCCGGTGAAGCTAGCGTTGGCTGATAGCCGGCCAGCTTGATAGCAAACGGCAGCGTGACTGAAGATACCAGTCGCGGTCCGACGGGCAGGCGACGTCTCCTTGTCAAGGTGACGCCAGAGAAAGCAAGACGGTAAACTTCTTAAGATAATGCAGAGAAAGGTCCAGATCGTTTTTGGCAGTGATGAAGTTAAAGACTCTGTCATGTGACTTTGGAGGCTACTTTTTAATTACATGAAGAACATTTAAGGATAGTTTCTGAAAATGCCACCGTAGTTTATGTAATTAATTTGTAATTCGGTTACTAACCCCCATGAATAGGGAGGGCTCAATGGGGCGAAGGTACGACAGTGACACAGTAATAAAATATTGATTTATTTTGTCTGGCATGACGTGTGTGTGAAGTTTCATGTTTTCACAAATGCCTCTTTTGCTCCTGGATGGTCGCATTACACATGACCACCGCCCTCATCCTCCCTCCCTCCTTTTCCACCAAATGCTTTGTCATGACATAAATTGAAGCGAGAGAGCATCACCAGATACCGTGTCTTCTGGAAAGTATCATTTTATCTTCTCCAGTCGATTAACCCCCACCCCCAGCCCTCGCCCCCCAGCTCACATTCATTGGTGCATACTCATGATTATCACCCCCGTAGCTTCTCTCAAAAGGCCTATTGATACAAACCCGAGAGGGGAGGGGGGGAGATTTTTTGAACTGGATGTAACCCCAGTTTAACACACACAAACGTTCACGATTCGGAGCGAACGGCGCAACTACATAAACAATTCCCGAGCCTCTTGAGAACCTTTGTTTCTGGGACTTTGCCAAAAGAAGGCACCTAATGCTTCCTGTCTTAGCGTCGGAGGGTCTTGTTAATGCATTGGGCTTCCGATATAAGGATACTGCTGATCGGCTAAAAAAAAAAAAAAAAAATGTCCACACAGGCACTTGTCTTAACTGCACTTTGGAGATAGGAGTCCATTTTTGTCTCTAAGAGGTAACGTCTCCACAACACTAATGCAACCCTGAAGACTACCGTGTTGGTCCTCATTACTTGGGTGATTTAAAAAGATAAACTGGAAGGACGGTTGAAGAAATGCGGACGATGTGGAGTGTCTGCTATTACTGGGACGCCCTAAATTGCAGCTGATGACACAACACGGTGTCACAATTTAAAATCACTGTCCAGTTTGAGGCCCAAGTACGACACTGCTTGCGAAAAATAAGCAACCAGGGGCCCCAAGTCCGCAGGATGGGATGTCGCAAATAGGCTAAGGGGGTTTAAGTACAGCATCAATAGTTTTAAATAGTACACATGTAGTGACCAGAGGTCTCTACATAAGGTACCATCTTATTGTCTCCACCTACAGCAAATTCAAGGCCCGGGGGCCAAATGCGGCCCGCCAGGTCATTTTATGTGGCCCGCGAAAGTAAGTGATGTGCGTCAACTTGCTAAAATCTGTATCGAAATGTCAAATTGTCATGTGCAACAAATAGCGTTGAGATTTGGCAATATTTTTGTTCTCCTGCGAGTCTGAAAATGAAAACCAGATGGATTGCGTTAACAAAGTTGTAGCTGACGACGGGGGGCACGGAACATAAAAATTTTACAGCGTATGGTCAAATGGCAAAAATAACAATCCAAAGCCTCACACCGGGCATCTTTTTTCAGCCTTTTTCCTGACCGACCCACTTTCCTGTGTGTTCCTCTACCGATGCACGGTGGGGATTGAAATCAACCCGTGAATTTAGCAGCTTCCAAAATATTCACGTATCACTTACTTTATTTGACTATAATTGAGTTGTGTAGTACAATATTTGTACGCTTCTGTTTCAGCTAGGAGTGTGAAAGCATGACTCAAAACTTTGCCTGCCGGCTTCTTGAACCCCCCTTTCTGTGACATGCGTGCACTCACGGCTGACAACGAGGCGTTCTAACGTGGCCACATCAGTGGACTATCAGAAGGGAGGATGGACTTTTTGGCTAAATTGTACTTGTCAGAGTAGCTTTAATGCAGAGTAGTTTGAATGTTACATTTTTTACTTTCACTTGATTGTTTTTGTCAAGGAGAAACACCTTTACACAATTCAATTTCGCTTTGTACTGATATTTTTCTATTATTGATAGATTTTATTGGTTATTGTAATTCAACTAGAGATATCATTCAATATTGTTTGAGGTAAAATGATAAGGTGAGTTAATGGGTGCATTTACATGTATTTTTGTATACATGAGATTTGTGCTTGGATTAAAAAAATAGTCAATCAAATGTCACCCACCTGTTACTGAGTATTTGAGTAGTATTTTTTTACTTAATTATTGACTTGTCTAATTATTTGGAAGACTACTTTTTACCTGTATTGTCATATTATTTTTAACTATATTCTTGCTTGAATACAAAGTTACTGAGTATTTGAGTAGTTTGTTTTTTTTACTGAATTATTGACTTGTCTAATTATTTGGAAGACTACTTTTTACCTGTATTGTCATATTATTTTTAACTATATTCTTGCTTGAATACAATTTTTGACAACTCTGTTGAGATGGCGTCATAGCGAGCTTGCTAGCGACGTGTCACAATCGCACCAGATCACCATCGATGTGAATGAAAGCGCTCAAATTCTTCAATAGTGTGAAAGGATGCCAGAATATATCACTCGGTGCCGTTTTAGCCATGCCACCGCCCCAACAACAAAAATAATAATACATCTGGGAAACTGAAATGGAAAACAATTGAGCGCTATATCTCCACAAATAGTGCCACATTGTTGTCACTGTTTGCGCATTTTCAGCAATCGTATTCCAACATGTTGTCATATATTTCAAAACCAAAACTCTGAATACAATTATGCTGCCTGCACAATTGACAAACCGATTGTAACAGTACAAGCTAACAAGTTTGAATGCTAACACTGGACCTCGCTAACACGGACATTCTCGAGGTTTGACCGTTGCTGCTTCAGACAGTCCGATGCGTTGACCTGCATGTGCGGTTGACCCGGACACAAGAATGTGTATGCGTGTGTAGGGAAGGCTATTGTTGTCTTTTTTTTTTTTTGTCAGGCCAGAAAGGAAGGAAGACATGGAAGTGTGGAGCACAGACTCAGAGAGCAAAGTGCTTCTCCAGCAGTGTGAGGAGGGGGACGAGGGGGGACATGGAGATTAGTTTCCTTTCTCTTCCAATGCAGAGCGAGGGTCATTAAGTCAAGAGTCATTTCACTGTCATCATTCACTCTGTGGAGTGGAAACTTTTCTTTTTTTTTTCCCCCTTGCCAGACACTTCTATTACTCGAGTGTACGTGTGGGAAAATCCATTCATTCGTTGCCAATTTTTGCTGTCTTTCTTATCGTTCAAAGCATTCATGGGTGAAATATGGCTCTCTAATTCTCTCGGCCGAGCATTTCGTTTATCGCGTTTGGAAAAAGTAAAACAAGTAACAGAAGCCAAATCAGCGATTCCGGATCAAAATTAGCCATTAGCTCCTCATTGAAAACACACTGAAGAGTTAAACCGAGAATCAGATTTTTATCTTCCAAGAACTGAACTGCCAAGAAAAAAGGATTTCCCGATTCAAATCAATTCAAAATGCCTGACTTCTTTTTTTAAAAAATGTCGTTTGGAGAATTTTAGGAAATAAATTAATTCAATCAATTTAGGAATGTTAGTGTGTCGACCTCACAGTGCAGAGGTACCGGGTCCAGCTCCGGCCTCCCTGTGTGGAGTTTGCATGTTCTCCCCGGGCCTGCGTGGGTTTTCTCCGGGTATTCCGGTTTCCTCCCACATTCCAAAAACATGCATGGCAGGCTGATTGAACACTCTAAATTGTCCCGAGGTGTGAGCGTGAGCGCGGATGGTTGTTCGTCACTGTGTGCTCTGCAATTGGCTGGCAACCGGTTCAGGGTGTCCCCTGCCTACTGCTCAAAGACGCTGGGATAGACTCCAGCACCCCCCGCGACCCTTGTGAGGATAAGCGGATCGGAAAATGGATGGATGGAATTTAGGAATGAGGCAGTCGCTTTATAAAATGCCTGGAAGGTGTTCACAGTTTCGCTATTAAGAGAAAATTTTCAGGAAACCTAATTTGTTTTTGATCTCACCTTAATTGACTCCGAATGAACCTCTCTCCTCCGCTTGATTGCAAAGGCGCCGATGAGCACCTCTCACACGCAAGTCTCCAATTAAAAAGTGAAGTCACCGTTTTGTCGCGTTCGGCATTTGAAAATGCTCCGCGGGTTGATTGCTCCACTCGACTGGTTTTAATAGCATCCCCGTTGTTTGTTTTGTTTTTCTGATGAATAATAAAAATGAATAAATAAAATCCTCCCACATGGTTGCTGCAGTATTTGAGGCACTAAAGCCTTTATTGGCTGCGCTAGTGCGTGGGTGGGCACCGGCTGTTACGGTGTCCAGTTAGTGTACCAGTTAAATATAATCTTTCTGTTGTGCCGCCCCCCCACCCAGACGGTGCAGCATGAATAACAATACAGAGAAGTCCTGAATTAATCATGCTATTCAATGTGTCAAAATTGGCGTCTCACAGCTAGAAATCACACATGCGTCGGAAGATTATGAAAACCTGCGTCGAAAGGAAACTTGTCACCATCTTTTGAAAGATTCTCATTTGGATGCGTTTTGTGTCATTTTCGCCTTGTGTAAAGTGAATATCGGTGCCGGAGGAAGCTATGCTATTAGCGGCAAGCTGGTGGGGCTCTATGCGGGCCCTTAATGCGTTCCTTTCCTGGAAGTGCTACAAGAGTGTCGGCTGCGCTCATCGGGGGGAATTAGCTCCGTCATTAGTCAGCTCTCTTGCGATGCACCGGCCTTGCCGTATTGACAAAATATGACTTTGTTTGTTCAAGACCACTTCCTGTTATCCATGTGTTTTCTGAGCTTGATGTCTTGACTTTCTTACTGTTCCGACGATGCTGCACTGTTTCTAGAATTCATCTTTTTTTCATGAAGCCACACCCACAAAACACAGAGTGGCCAATCACAGTCGTCCCTATATTTTTGGACTATACGGTGAATGTAAAAAGTAAGGATGTTCGATCCCACTTTTTTCTCAGACCAATACCAATACGAGTACTCAATTCTTGAGTAGTCACCGAAACCACTAGCACTTTTCAGACAGAAAATCCACCCCACAACCCAAAAAAAAAGTGACCTATCATTTTATAGAAAGACCTATATTTCCCAAAAGAGCAGTTTTTCTTAAAATTCTATGAAGAAAATGGCAATTTGCTATTCTTCTGGCAATTTGCTATTCTTCTAATTTCGAGTTCCTGATCATGAAATGACCACGGTATCGGTCGTCGTTTCGAGTACCGATACCTTGAAATAAGACTGGTATCAGCAGCGATACCGATGCCGGGTATCGGTACTCATCCATCCCTAGTAAAAAGTTTGAAACTGAGTCTTAGATGAGGTGGAAGGAATTATGAACAGTTCACGATAGCATTCAGTGTTACCACCAAAAAAATTGGGTTAATTCTGAACACAGAAACATCCCATATTATTTTGGTGTATTTGCACTTCCACCTCTAAAAAAGATCAAGTAAACTAAAATAAGTTGTGCTCTAAGTTATAGGTCACATTAATGGTGGAAAAGGTTTTGTAATGAATTAGCTCGTTTTCATTTTTTTGGGGGTTTTTTTGTGTCAAAATCTGGTGTTCGGACAGGGGTGTGTAGACTTTTTATATGCACTGTACAAAATCAGTTGTCATGCATTTAAATCAACACAGATAAATGCGAGCTCTGGATAAACTCTATATAGTTAACAAATTGAAACGAAATCATCAATTCCATTCTGACGTTTTTGTTTGTTTGGTGGCGTGCCGGCCTGGTAGATTTTTCTCGTGTCAACTGTGGGCCTTGGTTCAATAAAAGTTGAGAAGCCCTGAGCTAGAAGGCTTTTCCCACACCAGGAGCATTCATGTAAGGCAGCACAGGCGAGCATTGAGACAGCGCAAGTGTCTTGTGTGCACAGTTGCATGGGGGTGGCGGTCGATCAGATGATTGCGGTCGTGTCCGTGTGACGCTGATGTGGCTCCTTGACACATAGCACAAGGCACTCTTATGCCTCCGAGGCTCTGTCTGTGTACATCAACGAAATAATCTCCTCCACCGGGAGGAAAACTTGAGGGGGGCGACCTGAAAGCAGACTGGGGAAAAGATTGAAGCCATTGTGTACGTCTGTCCAAACTGTTGCTGATGACCTTGTTTGCATTGTTCATTTCCTCAACATTTTCGTCTGATCGATATGTGATAGTTTTACTCATGGGTCAATAAGACAATGCATTTCACTTGCTATCCCGGCCAAAAATCCCCTGCATGTTCTACTCTTAACAGTAGCACACAGAGCAGCTAATAAACGGACGCTTGCTAGGTGGCTAACAGCCCGTTAGCACCAGAATGTACAGTTTGCGATGACATTCATCACGAAATGATTGTCGAGTAACATTATAAGCTTGTCACCATCGTGTTACTGTTGTGGAAAAAAAAGGGCCGTCGGCAAAATCATTTCATCATTGTCGTCATTGACAAAAACACAACATGGGTACAGGCTGTTTTTGTCGCATTTGTCTTCATTGTTTGCTTCCTAAAAAAACAACACTACCAATTCATGTTGCACTTTTCTAAAAAAAATAAATAAATAGAGAGAGAGGATTTATTGCTAGACACTGATGTTAATGCTTCATTGCAAAGATTAGAAAATCTGTTTGTGTTTAGAAAACAAAACTGCGACATGCTCAACACTTTGCCAGTATTACCGCCGCCCTTTTTTTGTGCAGCAGCCTTTTTCCCTTCCATTCTCACTCCTCTTGTCTGGAAATCATTACAAGTAGAGCAGGAATCTCCTGCTGGCGCATTAGCATGCCTCCACCGACTCTCCTGCGCTGGAAAGAATCCAAAGCAAAGTAAAGCAACGCGTATCAAACTTGTTGACAGTATGTTGTTGTGGGCGGCCAACGGGCAAATGCTGCAGTCAGCAAACGTTTGCTCGACCTGCTTCTCACTCTCTCTCTCTCTCTCTCTCTTTCTTTTTCATGCCACATTTAGGATGGATGAGGTGTCGCAAGAAGAGAGGCTCCAGGTCATCGCTGTGAGTAGAAAAGCAACAGGGAACATCTTATTGGCTCTCCGTGACGACGCTGAGCCCCAAATCCGTTTATGTCCCATCTCCTGGCACCACAAGAAAACATCAAACGCCAATGCACTTAGGCACTCCGTCTTGCTTGTTATTTCTGTAAATACTCACGCTTAAAAGAAAGATAAATATTACTAGATGGAATAAAGACGTGGAGCACACACGCATACACAGTTTTTTTTTTTTTTTTTTTTTTTTTTACATTTCTCATTTTCCAACACCAACACTGACAGTTTTTATTGTTATTTCAACAACAGAAAATGAGTAAAGTGTTGAATTTTTCTGCACGCTTTGAATGTGAGACCATTTAAAAATGCTAATCCTGTGGCAAATTTGACCACTATTCATTCAATGCAACCAAAATAGCTGAAAATTAAACCACCCCAAAAAATAGTTCTTTTTTTAAAAATGCTGATTTTAAAAAAATTATACATTTTTGAGCACAAGGAGCATATATTTTCAAAAGTTAATCCACTCAATCACTTGCTTATTCTGTCATTTTTCATGCTAAAAAAAAAAAAAAAAAAAAAAACATAAGTGAGGAAGCAGGGCCCGAAAGTCACACAGAATCTGTTTGAATTTCTCATTTCAATTCAGGCGCTCATGCAGAAAACAGTAAAAGTTTGGAAATGTCACTGCATGCTTTGAATGGTAGGTGCACCCCTCCTAAAAAGAAAATCCTTTGGCGGTACTTCAACCGACATTCTTAAAAAAAAAAAAAAAAAAATGGCTCAAACTTGAAAACTTTTTTTTTAAAATTCATGTCTATCAAAAGCTGAGTCACCTTGGCAGAAAAAAAAGTGAAGGATGTGTGTTGCTGCATGCTTTGAATGCTATGATCGATATTCCTTCACCACAGGCAAAATAGCTTGAAAATAAATAAAGAATGAATGTCAGCATATTGTTTGAGCATTTTTGTCGTGTCTGCGCTTTTGGGTGCATAACATCCATACAAATAATGTACTCATTTGGTTGTAGGAAAAAAGGAAGAAGCAGACAGAAATTGAGAACAAGAGGAGGCAGCTGGACGATGACCGACGACAACTCCAACATCTCAAGGTACGCTCCACTTACAACCAAACCCCCCAAAATTAAACAGTCCCCTCATTGTTTTCAAAACATTCACTTGAATTCACTTTGTCGTAAAAGGCAGCCTAGGCCAGGAGGAAATGAGTTGAGCACAATGTAAAGGGATGTCATGAATCACTAATTGAATCCGTTTGCTTTATTGTGAAAATATGTCTTTCAGCTCCCTTTGATATAACGGCAGGACAACACCGCCCTTTCCTTCCCTGTCTAGTTGCCTTTTTGCCAGAAGGATTAGACAAAGAATTTGGATGCTTTTGCTGATGCACTGAGCGACTTTTAAAAAAAAAATGGTTGTCATAAAAAATAATTAGCTTGAGTCATTCTCAACCGGTTGGAAATAGAAAGAAGCATAACAATAATAGGAGTTGCCAGCTAAAATTGTTGTTAAAGAATATTTGTGGGAAAATTATATGCAAACATGATTTTTTTTTAAATATAGTCAAATGTGCAAAAAAAATGTTAAAAATCTGCCAAAATGTTTAAAAACACGATTTGTAATGAAATAATAATGCGTTTGTCTTTTAATATACAGTATCAGAAAAAGTGATGAAGTGCTGCCTCCGCCAGTGAAAATACAAAATGTCTTTTTTAAGCGCTTGCATTTTTGTCGTCAAACTCAACTCTTCTGCAAGTGAAAGCCACTTGTCTCATCGCAACTCGCTAGCTCCGCCTTGGTTGTCATGGTAACAGCATGATTGGTGCTAGCTCTGCAGCGGTGCAACGATGCTAAAAAAAAGAAAGAGAAAAAAAGCGAAAATTGGTTACTTCAAATATTGACATTTGTACTTTTTAAGTTCTTTGAGCTCATTAGATAATTCGTTCATTGGTTTATCATAAATAACAAAAATGTTAATTGGTTAACTCATCAAATTATTTATAATGAAAATAATAATGAAAAACTGAGCATTAATTATTTCATGCTATTATTTCCGTGTGTGTGTATACAGTGCGTATGTTGCTATAAGAGCAGAAAAGCAACCGCTCCCTTTATTTATTTCTACAGTCGTTTCTCCCTTTAACTGCAAAAATGAGTGTCGAGTCGTGCTGAGCTGCGAACCTTTTAAAGCCCTTAAATCCAAGTTGATGATAAACAAACGCTGCCAGCTCACTGCAGGCCTCCCGGGCAACGGCGCCCTTGGTTAGAGCCGGGCTCCGACTCCCAGCCTCAGTAATTCCTTCAACCAGTGTGCGAGCCTCACTGACCACTTTTACGGAATGTTCCAAATGGACGACAGATAACACCAGGAGCTCCCCCACTGGCTGTTTATACACACACACACACGCACACGCACGCACACACACGATGGCGTCCGCAAGCCCTTGTCATATCAAGAGGCAAGGTTTTTGTCAGTGGGTGCGTCAACGTTATCAAAGGCATTTGGCGAGGTTGCCGATAAGCAGAGGCGGCAAGGGTACTTCGGTCGAAGCACAAATACTCGAGTACCAAAAAAAAAAAGCCTGTGGTAAAATTAGAAGTACTTATTTTACACCAATATGCAATATTACGTTCTATGCAGCCCCCCCCCCCCCACACTAGTCTAAATACGGTATTCCGATTAATATTGCCTTTGTGGACCACCTTCGGGCTCGCATTGCACATCACATCAAGTTCACACTGCGAGCAAGTCCAGATATCTGTTTTCAAACGTAGCGAGTAAAAGTGTAACATCGTCAGAATACCTGAAAAATCTACTAAAAGCCCAGTGGAAGAAGTTTTTGTACTTCGTTACAGCTGTCCCACTTACTAAGAGCACAAAGACGGCCGTGAGCGTGTGTGACATGAGTTCATCTATTTTCAGAATTCGTCTCTTATCACGTTTGTGTGTGCGGTCATTGTGTACCACAGTGCGGGAACGCACGAGCCTCGGACAATGCAGACGGCTTTGACAGAGGAAACACAGCTTTGTCCCACTCCCACCAACAGGAAACGCCTCGCAGACACACACACACACATAGAAAGTGTTATCAAACACGCCAATCGGAAGGAATTTGTGCTGGCCGCAGCAAGTCTCATTGAAAAAGTTCACCATGCCACATTTTATATTTCCTTTGAACCCCCCACAAAGAAAAAAAATTACGCTCCGAATTGACCCTCCTCCCCAAAAGATGGGGTCATTGCCGACAGGAGTCACAAAATGGTTGCGAAGGACTACTTTTATCTAAAATGAATCTCTTCAACTCACTTTGAATTGTGTCCTTTGGATGAAGATGTAAATGGTATTTTACTACAAACGCACATTTAGACATTCAATAAAACAGCATTCAGTCATGTCTTATTTATCCTCTGCACGGAGCTAAATCGAGTGTACTTATGTCCGTATACATTATATCAATACGTGTCTTATCCTGCCCCCAGGAGGTTATGGTGGACACCTGCACCCGTTTCATTCTTTTTATTTCCATTGAATTGTCTCATTACAGAGTATTAGAGAGCACTTTTTTTGGAAGGTGGGGGGGAACAAGCATGCCCATTCATTCCAATGATATGATATGATGACACGAGATAACATTCATGAGCATACTGAGACGAGATCATCATTATTTCGATCAAGTGCTGGTTAGCTTAGGCTAAGATGCTCGGAAAGTCATTTTGCAAGTGTCGTAGTTTCTTTGGGACATTGCTCGTAAAATGGCATCATCAACAAATATGGCCGCCTTTGCACTGTGACCTGTTTTAATGGACCTGTATGCGAATCCGTCTAGTTTTTTTTTTTTGATTGTGGTAAAGTCTTCCCAGTGAGTCGATGTAATGTCCATCGAGGCCCGTGTGTGTGCATGCGCGCGTGCGTGCGCATTTGTGCGTGTGTGAATGTGTGTGCTACAGTTCCGCCCTTTGTCTGCTACGTTTGCAAGTTTTTACGCCGCAGAACAATGCAAAGACAAAACTTTACAACCACGCTTGTGTATGCACGTGTGTGTGTGTGCGTGTGTGTGTGTGTGTGTGTGTGTGTGTGTGTGTGTGTGCGTGTGTGTGTGTGTGTGTGTGTGTGTGTGTATTAGCACATTATATGATGTCATCTCTTGCTGGGCTAGGGTGTGGCGGGATTGAGAGGAGAGAGTGAGAGAGAGCGAGAGAGAGAGAAAACAAAGCACTTTTTTTTAGATTGGCTGCATTGCTGGTGGAGGAAGAGTGTTGAATTACTGTGTGTGTGTGTGTGTGTGTGTGTGTGTGTGTGTGTGTGTGTGTGTGTGTGTGTGTGTGCGTGTGCGTGTGCGTGTGTGTGTGTGTGTGTGTGTGTGTGTGTGTGTGTGTGTTATGTTAGTATGACACCAGCCCTGACTATGAGGTGCCGTCTGAGGGATTATTCAGAATGAACTCTCACATAGCAAACTGAAACTTTCTCATACGCACGACTGAAATGTTATCACACACACTGCTGAAATGCTGTCAAACACCACTGAAACACGCACACACTGCTGAACGCTCTCACATGCTCCTGAAAGGCTTTCACACACACTGCCGAAATGCTTTCGCATGCAAACTGCAGAAATACTATCATCCACATCACTGAAACGCTCTCACACACTACTGAAATGTTCCCTTCCACCACTGAAACACTCACACTTCACTGAAACGTGATTTCACATTATCGAAACTGACACACTTCTGAAATGCTCGCACACACTACTGAAATGAAAAACACACTTTTGCTACTGACATAGTCTCACACACTAATGAATTGATCCCACACACAATGCTGAATTGCTATCACACACTACTGAAATGCACACACACACACACACACACACACACACACACACACGACTGAAGTGCTATCCCAAACTACTGAAATGTTATCACATGCAACTGAAACGCTCTTGATACACGACTGAAACGCTTTGACGCTTTACGAAAATTGATTTTGTTCTCATTGAAACATTCTCAAACACTGCTAAAACTCTCATACACAGTGTTGAAACGCTCTCACGCCACAACTGAAATTCTGTCATTCAGACGACTGAAACACTCAAACTACTTTTTTTTGGGCGGGGGGGAAACGCAACAGTTTTTATCTCACATTTTATCATAAAATGCTTTGATACACACTCCTGAAACAGGTCTATGACCATAAATCACCATGATGTGTGAAATGATTCCAGGGGTGTGTTTGAGAGGATTTCAGCCGTGTGGGTGAGAGCGTTTCAGTTTTGTGACGGGGGGATTTCAGTCGTGCGTATTAGAGCATTTCAGTAGTGCACAGTAGATGGGAAAGTTTTAGTTGGGTTTCTGAGAAGTAATCTTGATTTATGTCAGCTGCTCATACTTGACGTCTTGCATGCTGTATGGCTGCGTGTGCGTGTGTGTGTGTGCGTGTGTGTGTGCGCGTGCGCTGCCACACTGCCTGGGAATGTTGAAAGAAAAGCACTTCCACAGATTAAAAAGCTCCTGATAAGAAACGGCCGGGATCCACTCCGACATTTACAACGTAGTTTGAACACCTTCCCTAAAAAGTTCACCAACTGCCTGATGCATGCAAGACGGCAGGAAACAGAGTAAGGGGAAAAGAAACAGGGACTGTCGAGATTCTTTTTGCATCATAGCGAAGGAATTCACAAGTCTAGATTTTTTTTTATTTATTAATTTTTGTCCGACGCGAGTTGGAAAACGTTCCCAGCTGCTTTTGATTATGGCCTCTAGGGGTCGCTTCCGCGTCACTTCCTGTTGGAGCAGCTGCAGAAACGACCCACTGTGGTTTATATTTTGACCTCATAGCCATGACACGTATTTGTTTTTGCTGTCTGCGGGACGGCCGGCAGTTGAGATCACCGCAGGATGGCATTTGGAAATGGATCAAAGGCTTTAAAGACGTTTAATGAGTCCAGCGTGGGTTTTTTTTTCTTTTTATTATTATTATCGCGTCACAGGTAGCAAATTTCTCGAATTGGCCGTAAAGACTTTTGTCGCAATTATGCTCGCAGGCAAGCGGCAGTGATCTGGAGATGCAAAGCGGTTTTAGGTTTAAAACTGCTGCTTGTCAAGTAGTCCGAGGTCAGAACGTGAGATGTGTAGCTTGCACTTTAAACGATGTTTCGTAAGCGTGTCATTTTTGGGATGTTTTGCGCAATGCACGTACTGTATACCATATACACCTACGGTGGGGTGTGCCTTTAGCATCCTCTTTCACGTTCACCCTTCCCACTGTAATATCCGCACGCTGTCCTCAGGGACGTCCCCCTTTCCGCTATATAAACAGCGTGTCGGCACAACA